GAACAAATTTTCCTATGAGCATTTAGTATGTTAAGGAATTACCTAATGTCCCCTCAGGTCTTTTGCCACCTCTCTTATAGCAGATAGTCCCTAGATAGCCCCTGTTACTGTTTGTGGTACCCGCTTTCTTGGTGCTTGCAAACTGAAGAATATGAAGCATAGGTGTGTCCTGGGAAGAGATAAGGAAAACCAGTGTCTTCATCCTGGGTAAATGGTCTCCCTGGTTATATTCACTTTGCATACAAATAAACAAAAAAGTAATATTTTATTAGGAATCCAGTGGATAGAATAATGGACTGTAACTCAGCAGATGTCAGTTCACAGCTCTGCCATTGGCTTATTGGGCAAAGTAATTCGTATCATCACCATACAGCCTGGGATAAAGACAATTTCTTTGTAATGCAATATGAGATCTATAAAGGAAAAATATGCAGAAGGAATAATAATAAAATCCTTCTAATGATAATAAAATTGTAAGTTTTAGATATGTGTTTATGTTGTGCATAGGGGAATGAACCATATTCTATTCTGCCTCATGCTTCATCAGTGGTGCTTTTAACTGGTTTCCATTTTAAGGACTACATGTATTAGTGTATTATTTTTAGATGTACCTTCAGATACAGGTGCGCTTTTCCACTGAAAGTGATAGCATTTTATTTTAGTTACGCTGGGCAGCATTTCCTGCATCTTCATTACCGTTGATAAGCCATAAAGAACTTTATGGCTATGTTTAAATACCTGCTATTTATGGTGATGATGGGGAGGGATCTTTTTTATTTGTGAACTGAGTAAATATGTTGCACAGATCCTTGGGCTGTGAGGACTGTGATTCCCTGAAAGTAATTTGCATAAAGTCATTCCTGTCTGCTTTTGCTCTTTAAATCTTCTCTGGCTGTATGGGTAACATAAAACATTTAGTTTGCCTTATTTTATGCAATGTAAATAATAGATACGTTCAGGACTAGATCCTGAATACCTCAGCTGGTATACACCAGTGTAGCTCTGGAGCGAGCGGCGTTGGATTGACTGGGAATCTACCCCCACCATCAGCTGTAAGTGCTAGTCTTGCAGTGCATTATACAAATGTTCACCGTAGTTTGTCAGCAGCAAAGCTGTCACCCAACAGTACGCACTGCCTTCTATCAGCCATTACTTTTCTGTCATCATCATCAAGTGTAGCTTAAGAGAATCTGTGCATTGTTTCTTTCCTTCTGAACAATTTCCATCGAAATAATTGACCTGCTTTTATGGTAATTCGGTCTCTGCTATTTGTTACTGCAGCATTTTGCAAAGAAAAATGCAAAACTAATGCCCTAGAACAGAAACATTCAGCCAAATTACTTACCAGTAATCCAAGGAATCATGGATAAATCCATTGCTCAAGTGGCTTCTCATTTGGAGCTCTATCTAGTTTTCACCCAAGGGTTGAGATTTGGGCTTTTTGTGGGTGGAGGGGTTGTTTTGTTTTTGAAAGGTAATACTCATGCTTTCTGCCCCAGAGCAACTTTATATAAATCTCTTCTGAAAACTGTATCTGCCAGCACTGTCACTCCACCCACAAGCTTTCACGAGTAGCACCAGCTAAAAATATTTAAAGGGGCTGTTTCCACTTGTTTGGTGCATTTCATTTCATGTTTCTGCCTCTTCCTTTCTTTGTTCTTCAAAAAAGTCAATAAGAGATATCATTTAAGCCCAGTGTTTTGAAGTGACAACCAGTAAACAGCCTCATAGCATGATTAATGAGTACTCAGGAATAGTTTGCTGTAACGTACAAGTAAGTTGGGCCCCACTGAATTTGTTTTAAAGTAAAAAAAGAGGTTCCAGTTATAGGTTGAGACCTTCACTGAGTCACTGGATATGCTATATTTTCCACCAATTTCTACTACTGGCTGATGGTGTTCACGTCAAGGTGTTACACAGTCACAGGGAAGTACAAGCTAGCTCAGAAGTGACACTCATAATCTGGACTTCTGACAAGTTAAACAGTAAGGAGAACTTTAATTTCTATTTAAAAGCTGGAAATGGTGGTCAAGGTGAGTGATGAAAATCATGAAGTCTTTAAAAAAATAATTGCTGTTCCAAAAGTAAAAATTAATGTTGTTTGGTTCTACCTAATGCATATATTTTTCTTGATTTCTTTGACTTCCAGCAAGCTTGGCTTTTTGTGGAGTTTCTGGGCTGCTATTGCTTTTTTCAGAGGAAAGATGACCAAAGTAAAGACATCATAGATGTTGCCCTGCTGGTTTAAGCAGGGTCATTGCCAGTGGAAGGCATCTAGGGTTTAATAACAGTGAATGTGCTCCGAGTTTCTCTGCTTTCCTTTGGAAGTTTGTTGTGTAGGTGGATTCCCATGGCTGAGAGAGCCAGCATCTCAGCAAGGATGACATAGCTCACAGGTGGAGACATTAGATCTCTTTTGACCTCTTGAAAGTGGAAGTAGGCTGGGGAGCAATGGAGTGATGAAGACACAGGTTGAGTATTTTCATTGCTGCCTAAGTCTTGGGGAAGTTTGACAGCCACACTTTGTACAGTGCTTACACAAGCAGCTTCCACACAATGAGTTACAGAGCTGGAGTAAGTGGATTTGTGAAACTCTTGTGAAAGTACTGATTGCATTGCCAGATCCTGCCTCCGTGAGGAAGAAGTTACCTCACCTTCCCAAGCCAGTGTTTAGGTCACTAATGTTTCTCAGTGTTTCTGGCGCTCCAGGACTGCTGTGAATGAAAGAGGACTTGGTATTTTCAGTACTCTGAGCTCATGCCCTCCTTCTCAGTCTGCGTGTTGGGTTGGAGGAAGGATCTACATCTTGAAACATTTTACAGGTGGTATAATGAACATTGCACTCTGGTGTTGCTTGTTTGGAGGTAGATTCATTTAGTAAATTAAGCCTAAATAATCTAGTAGCAAATGACTCTTACATGAAAAGAGGTAGTGACCTACATCCAGACTTTTGTGGAAAATACGTGGTTACTCATGCTCTTAGCACAGAGATGAAGATTGGCAGTGATCCCTGTAAGGTGTGGATTTCTGATATGGCTGAGGCTGGGTGGCGCATCTATGTAATTCTGCTTGTTTGATGCAGGATGAGAAGAGTATTACAAGCTAAGATAGTATTCTTTTTTCTTTTTTTTTCTTTTTTCTTTTTTTGCACAAACAACAAACTATTTGGTCTAACTAAAATAACTGTGTGGCTAATCCTGCCCTATTAAGTCTCCTCAAGGAGTGAATACCTTAAGAGTAGATTTTGATGGAAGTTGTTAAAGATGACAAAAATTTTTTTACATAAAAGGAAATGTAGTACATTCTAGCTTCAGAGTTCAGAACATCCAGAATGCCAAGGTTATTGTAGTATTATAGCACAGCAAATTACATTTCTTATACATTTTTCTTTGTCTCTTTCTCACACAAGCCTAGACTATGTTTTCATAATGTTAATGAAATGTGTTGTGATGTTCGTGTAGGCTGCTGTGGGTAAATAATTGCAATATGAGGAAGGTGATTCATGATGTGGCCCTAAGTCTGTAAAGTAGGACTTTGTGACTGATTAGGATATAAGCAAAGTGGACTACAATGTCTTAAAAACCCCATCAAAACCCCTGACAGATCAACCTGTAGTCAATGCAAAGATCACCTGTCTCAGCCAAACAGATGCTTCTGTGAGAAGTTTTGGTGATTTGTATGTGAGGCCTTCTTAGTGACCCAAAACATTTTTTGTGGTGTGTCCTTGACAACTCCTCCTCCTGTTCTTCAGCCAACCAGGTAACTAAAGCTTGAGCCTTCATGAGAAAAGGGCGGCAGACAGCATGCCTTCTCCTACACATGCGTCCTGCTCAACACTGAGGATCAGGAGTAACATGATGCCAAAGCTAGTCCCAAAATCCAGACCTAAGGCTGGCAAGTTTGGGGGTTTTATTTCTCCTGCTCATTCAAACCTAGAGCAAACGCAGAATCCTTTTAAGTTTCTACATTGCTATTCACAGTTCTCTTTGTGACTGCTGGAGAAAGAAATGTACACAGCTATTTAAAAAATTCATATGTGTAGGCAGGGAAATGCTTTAAAAGAGTATAAAATACAGTGCAAGTATTGCTGTCACTTCTTCCCCAGTCATATGCTACACTTTAAAAAGCCAGCATGTTTTCTTCCACAAAAAGATCTTTATATTTCTGAACTTTCAGAAGCTTTAATCAATATAAATAACAGTTTGAGCATGATGACATCATATTTAGTCCTAGAGTTGTGCATCTCATCTGCTTAGTCATTTAAATCAGTGGAAATAAGTATAGCAGTTAGAAGTTTCAAAAGGTCAAAGAAGCTACTGTCTTTTCAGCTTTGAATCAGCTGAGAGACTCCAGTTTCTTGGAAACATAATGCCAAGGCTGCATCTCTGCATTTCATTTCTCCCCCCCCCCCCTCTTTAAAGCAGTGTAGTAATTAGCTTAAAGGGCAAATCACACCACACTCAGTAGCAGAATACTGTACGGTGCAAGTTCCTTTCTATTTTCTCTTTTACTTGAAACTAGTTTAAAGAGGAGTTTTAGCCCACATTGTGTACTGAAATATTTGACTGAAGTTCTCTTACCCAAACACCAAAAAGCCGTTTATATTTTTCAATAAAATTAATACTTTTTCAATACAAATACAGCAAGCTCTTTTGCCATTTTCTCAGAAGGAAAATAAGTGATAAAGTGTTCTTCAGAGAGCAATTTGTGAGAAAATTAAAATGAAAGCAAAAGACTTTTAAAATCTTGGTTTTAAATGTGATTTGTTGTTTTCGTTATAAAAGTAGCAGCATATTTTCTGGGAGGAAGCCACCTATCACCTAGACTGCAAAGAAAAAAACATTCTATTTTTTACTGTCAGATGTGTTGGTCAATCAAAACTTATGATCAGAACCTGTGCCACATTTATCTGTATAATAGGACTCTACAGTGTTTTACCAGCTGCTGTTTCTTATATGTTTTTCTAAATGACTCTTTGTTTTATTTCCATATATTTCCAGCTGCCATTCTGCTGGTGAAGTGAAACTGTCCAGGCGGGTTGTCGATCGTTTCCATTTCGTGGTATACGCAGCCTTCTCAGAGCTGGGAGCTTCTCACTGGCGCTCCGGGGACTTCTGGCTGCTTGTGCTGCTCATAGTTTTGCTTTGGTTCGTGAGACTCTACCTGCATTATTTGAGCCAATGGCTCTTCCTTCAGACCATCTCGGTTCCTGTTACAAAGTAAGTCCAGCTGCCTTCTTTCTCTGTCAGAATATTTCTACAGATAGCTGATTCAAAGCAGTTCCTTTGCACTACAAAGAGAATTGATGACTACAACTCGTGCTAAGGGCTCTGCATGCAAGCCCGGATAGGAGCCTCTGCAGAGACCAGGAGAGCAAGGACCACATCCAGACTCCAGATGATCTGATGTGTAAATGTGATCCTAACAGAAAGGTGAAGATGTTAATACTGTAAATTTCCAACCCAGAACAGGTTGTGTACATTTGTGCATCTTGTGTCATGCCTACCTCTCTCCCCTCTGAGATACCCAACGGGTTCTGTATCTTTCACAAGAATCATTTATCATTTTGAATCAAGTATTTCAAAATGCCTAAGAAGTGCACAGAACTAAAGAAGCATTTAAATCATATTTGATGTTACCAAAGTGATCTATGAGAAAAATACTTTGAAGAATTTAACTTTGATATATCAATTTTACCGTGAGGACTACAAGGGGTTGACATATTTTAACTATATGATACATTGACTTTAGCTTGGGAATCAGAGGTCTCTAGAGAGTTCCAGGAAAATCATTACTTGTCATTACTTGACATGAAAAAAAAAAAAAGAAAAGAGAACAAGTCTACAAGGTGATGTATACCTGGTTCTCCATATGTTGCTGTGGGGTAGAGAATGGGTTTACAGAGCAAAAAAGACCAGTCATGCTTAGGGAAAGGAAGATTTCTTCAATAGAAACTTTTTTTTTTCCTATTCTTCACTTTAAAGCATGATGCAAACCTGAATCAGTCAGTAGGAGCCAGTAACATGCAACTCTGTGACCTATGTCTGCTGTGATACTGTGATTATTGGCTAAAAGTTAAACAGGGTGTCTGAGCAGACTCTGGACAGCGCTGGGAATTGTTAAGGTGGTCGTCTAGATCTTAATGCAAAGCCAGCCATCTCTCGCTTCTGGCCTTGCACAGCCCAGGCGGGCTCAGCCAGCTGGCATTAAAACTTCTGGGAGGCCAAGCATCAAGAGTCTGTGAAAGCAAAGAAAACACAACAGAAGGAAGCAACGTGTGAGAGAGAGGTGGTCATGTTCGAAGCCACTAATCACAGCTGTCCCAGGCAGTCAGCTAGAGAAACGATGGTGTTCTCAAGCCAAGATGCCCAGGATCAGCATCCCAATCTGTAGCTGCGTGCCTGCAGGATGTCAGACTGAGTTGAGCACTCTCTGGTACCACCAAATACAGTGGTAGCACTCACAGGTTGGAACCAAAGTAAGAATTAAACCACTTCACCTTTGGTTAGGAGCAGAATTTAAGCCACTTGGATTGGCTTCAATTTTTTGCCTTATGTTTCAGCAGCTGTATGCAGCTCCCAATACCATGCAGTTCCCGTCTCCTACAGCGCCAGGAAATTTGCTCACTGTGTGACCTTTGCAAATCCCACCATCCCATGGTGGTGAGGGACATTTCCAGTCACTTTAGGGATGCTAAAAGCTATGTCATCCATAGTGTATCTCGCACTTTGTGCGGTGACCGAAGGTGCTGCAATATGCAGAGAGGGGTGAGCTCCTGGGCCCTGTGCACACATTGGTGGTTCTGGGAGCTGATGTCTTCCTATAGCCCTGCCAGCGCAGTCCCAAGGGCCTGGATGTGCATCCACTGAACTCGGAGTCAGAGCAGATCAAAGGATGCGGAGGCAGGAGGAAGAGAAAAATTTTCTTTTTTTGAGTAGCTTCATACAGATTCTGGTCGGAGGGTTGTGACCAAGCTAGGGATGCAACTTTACAATGCAACATGTTGTATGCATGGTTTTTTTTTTTTTTTTTTTTAATGGTTTGCCCAGGAGCACAGACAAGCGCTCTCCTTTTGCTTTTTACAGATTCCAGCTTTTCCCTCACACTGTCGAACTGTGCTACCAGAACTCCTTGCTGCAGACCAGTGAAGAGTTGGTCATGGTTGTGGTGGGACCCCTAACCTTGAACGCAGGGCTGCTTCTTATGGTCCTAATCAGATGGGGCTGTCAGCAGCTGTTTGACTCATTCCCTTCCTTCTTGTCAAAGTTTATCATAGCTATGGGACTCTGGACAGTGCTAGACCCCTTGGCAGTGTTCGTAGTGGATTCATTCCTGGGGGTAAGTCACTTAAAATAACTTGGACATGAGACCTTGACGTAGAAGTTTGTTTTATTCAGTGAATCACTGAAAGATATGAAATTCCACCCCTGGCAATGGAACATGAAAGTTAAAAAGAAATTAAATAATAATGTTATACATTACCTTTTTATTAACAAAATTCCCATCTAATGGAGTCACTGTGTTTCTGCATAAAATTAAGAGCACTGTACAAGCCATATATGGAGATAAGAAAGTAAATCCACCACTGGAATGATTGCATCTGCTTTGAAAAGGATTACTGCAATTTTGGATGTTAATGGAGATGGGTTAATGAGCAGTCCTGATTATTAGCGCTTCAGATTTTTCTAAGCAGTGAAACAGACAAAATGAAAAAATGGAGGTTATTGTGCATTTCTCTGACGTGCAAGGTAGTTAATATAATTTGCTGGCACACCTAAAAAGACTTGTGAGATTGAAAGACAGACATCTCTAAGGAAAGAGCTTCGTCATATGTAAAATCATGAGAGCAAAGCTCCCAACTCTCTCTGCACCTACGTATGCTCTGTGTAGCTCATCTGTACTTTGGTGGCTGGGGACTTTTATCACATCCGAGGTAAAGCCCAGTCTCCCTAATCTGAACGTGTGTTTCAGATTTGGCTCTCACTGTGTAGGTGACACGGGGTCCTTTCGATGGATGCAGGGCGCTGAGAGTTTTTCTGGGGGTGTGGTATTGCTGCTGTCCTGCCCTTGTCTGTCTTTCAAAGACATCTTTGTTTCTGTTGCTCGCTCCAGAACAAGCAGTAACCCATAGTCCTTGTGGTGGATCAGGTTTTCTCAGGTCTCTTCATTCCTCATCCACTAAGCTGTGGTCAGCTTTTAAGAAGTCTTGTTAAAAATGTCATTTTTCACTGTTTACATGCTGTTTCCCATTGCAGTGGTTTTGAAAATTAAAATTCAGCTGTTCAAGAAATTTAATTGGAGCTCGCTTGGGAGGTAATTGCAATAGTTTAAGCATGTGGCAACACACTGTAGTTTTCACTTGGACAGCCTGCTGGGTTTTTTTTGTTGTTTTGTTTTTTAAATTTCGTGGTGTAAACCATGCACAGAATTGAATTTTAATTGTAATCATTCTTATGATGAATTTTTTTCGTAGGAGAAAAGGGGTATTTCCCCAATATCCAGGCTAGAAATATTTAAATATTTAAAAGGCTCCTACCACCCACCCCCCAATACTGGTGTATTCATAAAAACTGGAGGAAAGGCTGAGGTCTGCCTTGTCTTTCCCACACTTGCATTGAGAATATCATTGCCATTGACTTCAGTGGAATTGTGTTCAGCTCTAGTCAGACTGGATTCATTATCAGTTTCAAATAGGGCTTCTTTGCTTGGTCAGTGGGAAACGTGAGATATGAATAAGGTAACTAAGTTTTTCATCACAATGTTAAAAAAGCACACTTCTCTCTGTACTTCATACTGAAAATTTGGCAATTTTACCCACCAAGATTTTCTTTGGTAGAAACTCATTTGTTCAAATATTACACAATATACTGTGTGCATCCTTTCCAAAATGAAACTATATCTCTTACATGTGTTTTCGTTATTGCATTTGTAATTTTTTTTTCTTCTGGCATTCTTTCAGCAGTTATTTCAGATTTACTTGCCAATCTATTTTAGATCAAGCATTTTTTAAAACGTTGTGTTGTGGTAATATGAGTTATTTTAGTGCTAGAATGTATTTTAGTATCCTAAATGGCCTTAATACTTATGAAAGATGACAGACAGCCCTGGAGATAAAGGTTTCTCTGTTTACTAATTACTTTTTATTATTATTAAGGGAAGACTAGAGAGCCAGTTGCATGTTTGGGGGGTTTCAACTCATAGTTCAAGATACTCTGTCAAATGTGTGATTCCAGGTTTGATTTACTATCAGCTTGTAGAAGGATGTTCCAGGGGTAGGAAACTTTCCTATGATTTTGGAGAATGCAGTTGTCGTTCCAGTTCTGCCAGAGCTTTCCTGGGACTGGCCACTTGGTCTCTGTGTAGCTTGTAAAATGCAGAGAGTAACACCTCTTTAGCCACATGGATACATGTCATCATAAAAAACATTAAAGACTGCAAAGTGCTTGCATGACCATCACTCTGTGGTGTGAGAAGTACCCAAGACAGATACTGAAAGAATTTAAAATGAAGACACCTTTCTTGGATCATATCTTTGAGGACCACAGAAGGATTGACACAATCTCTTTGTTAGAAAAAATGGATAGAAAGGTACACTTCCCCCACACCATTTTTGCCTTGCCAGAAAGAACTGCTTGGATCAGAGAGAAATTTATTCTTATTTGCCATTCAGACTTTTGCCTCTCAGGAGGGATGTCAGGACGTGACTGCTGTGCAGAGGATTTTCCTTGGTAGACAGTCTCTTCCGTAAGAAAGTGGTGGAGGCAGACAGCTTTTTTTTTTTGCAAGAAGAGAGGATAGGACAGAGAGATAGAACAGAACCAGAAGATAATGTATTTTAACTTTTTAGTAAAGAATATGGTCAGATCTGAATTAGTGACTAGTCTTTATATGCCATTACCATTCTCCTGGGACTTGTAATTTCCATTACAGAAACGTGGCAGTGTTGCAAAGGGTGGAGAGAGAACAGAAATATACTCAAGAATCTCAGTCTTTGTATAGCTCGTCATTGGACTTGTAATTGTCTTTATTATGCATGTCACTGCAAAGGTAGCAAAAAATGGGGAGAAAGTTTTGGCTCTTCCTAAGGATTAGTCCAGGCAAGTTGCTCAGGGAAGTGCAGGTTTCTTGAAGCCTAAAGGTCCCAGACTCCCTCTCTGAATGATAATAAACACTGGATTTTTTAGTGGTGCAGTTTCACATCCTTGCAAAATGTGTTAACGTGATTTAATATGGATATGGCTGTCATTGTGTCACTTTAAAAAGTGAAGAGAGGAATTTATTTTAGCTCTGAGCAGTAGAAGACCCATGATATGTAGCTGAATTCTTCTAAATTGATCCAGCAGAGGGCAATAATATGTCAATACAGTAGCTAGTTCTTAAGAACTAGATATGGAAAAAAAAGAAGGAAAATAATAAATTTTTGGAAAATCTTTTTCCATGTTTTACTGGAAGTATAAGAAAACATAGAGTGCTACAAACCCTTCAGGATTCTTTCTGAATCTTTGTAAAAATACACAAACCACCTTATTCCCAATTAAATTACTATTTTTGTCCTATGAATAGTAATTCCTTACCAATATTTAGTATGCTAAAGATTTATTTCATCTTCAGTAGAATGAGAATAGTTATACAAGTTTATTTGTTTACAGAGCAGTTGAACATAAACCATTAATAGCATAACTAAGTAGGGTATATGACAGTCATGTACCTTTGAAGAAGCTGTTAATGATACAACTTATGGGTTTTACTTTGTACGGTTAACAGGTATCTTTAATTCTACCACAGCAGTGGGAGTATGGTACAGTCAGATCTCTTCAGAGGTATTGGTCTCATTCTGTCTCTATTTCTCCTCAGGAAAAAAAGAAATTAAATGAGATCTATATCATGAAATAATGCTGATAATTTTTGGTTATTCAGTGTTACAGGCTGTTCTTTGTGGCTTCCTAAACTGGACTGACTGGACACTAGGAGTGAGGGGTGAAGGGAATGCCTGATTTTCTGACTTAAAACATTGTGGGCAGACTTGATAATGCATGTACATAAACTAAAATATTGCTTTGTAGGGGGAACTTGTCTCTTTTGCAGTGAAAAAAGGTCAACCCCTTTGGGCAAAACTTAACAAAACCCTGCTGGTGTCCCCTGTTGATCTACTTATAGTTGCTTTTTCCATTTTTCTCAGCTCGTTGGGTCTCAGTGAAGCTTTGTGAATCCACTACCTTCTCTGACTGATGCTGTTGTTTGCAAGGCTAGTGGAAAAGCTATCCTAAGTGTCAACTAGCAACACATGCAGATGCCCTGATACTTCTATTTGGTATTTCAGATAACACAGTGGTTACTATTGTTTTCCAGTGGTAGCATCACACACTGACTCGATCTGAAATGGGGAATTGGTGTGTATACAGTCTCCAAAGTGCACATTTTCAAAATAATGTAACTTGCTGAGTCTGGTAGGAACCAGCATTTTTCTTGTGACAAGGGCAAGTCATTTTGAGACTGGTCAGTTTGGAATTATGCACTGGCACAAGTGCTCACTTAGCACTCCTAAAAACAGCAGCATAAATCATTCATTATTATGCCTCTCTGGTCATTGAAATAAAGTAAATTTCAGCCTTCTTCCACTTCTCCCAAAATATGCTAATGAAGGTCACATTGAGTATTTTCACTGTGACATGGGGTTTTTTCAATCAGCCACCTCGATAGGGTAGATTTTATTTGTACTAAAATAAGCCAGAAAATAGGTTTTCACATCTCATGGTTAATTTCAAATTCTGTGTAGCAGTCTTAAGTTTCAAGCTGTGTACCCCACAAATTAGTTAAATCCTTCTTGTAAAGAAATACAGGTTCTTTTGTGTCTATAGATAACTAGTCTAATCAGGTTTGGCTTTTTCTTATGTTGATTTTTTTCCCCCATGACAGCGACTTGGGAACAGTGTAGAGAAACCTATTGCTGATGCTGCAAAACTCTACTGGGTCTTTCTAAGAGCAGAAGAGTCAGGGATTCCTGGAGCTTTAATCACTGTGATGCTTTATACAATCCTGTTCATCATCTCATCGACAGTGCTGTACCTGTACTTTTTAAGGTATGTCTCTTTATCTCATTATTCTCTTAGGAGCTTAGGCTCACGCCCCTTCTCACGTAAGATAAAATAAGATGACATCAGAAAAGACATGTCAACGTCATATATCCAGAGCCCAGAATTGCAGATGATCAAGGAGGGGTTAGCTCCTGCTTAACTTTTAATACACTGATATTTGGTGGGCACGGCGAGTCAGAGAGGGAGCCACTTATTTCCTCAACAAGAACACAATTGATATAATGGTTTTGCTAGAGTGTAGGAGCCTCTGTTTCTTTGGCTTCAGACAATGGTGTCTGTGCCAAGGGTTTAAGCTCTAAAGTGTGTGTACCTTTTATCTAGGTACTTTGGAAGACGTTGTCTTTAGTCTTCCAAGCAGAGTTTTTGTGAGAAATAGGAAAAATTCAGAAAGCTACACATGGTGTGAAGTGCAAAATCTCTGAGTTTGCAGTGGCCCCCAGAGTCTTAAAGCATTTTGATAATACAGTATTTTTGACTTGATGTGACTGCAGCTTTAACCCACTGCATGACATGACTATATCCAAATAATTTTCCCATGACTTTAGCCCATTATCAATATTTAGTTCATCATGAAATTTGACCAGCTACGTTTCTTGCCACATTTCTAGTAGGCACCATTAACGGTACAGTCAGTAGGGGCAGGTGTGGGATGCTGAAAACAAATGAGATATGTTGTCTAATATATTGAATGAAACAGTGTATTTTCTTGTTTCTGAGTGACTCATCTATAATACAGTATGAACTTTGTACTGGCCCTCGATTCACCCAGTGATGAACGCTGAGTGGTGGCAAGCACCAATAAAAAGCCGTACGCAAAGGCAAGATGCAGGCAGGTGTAAGAATAGAAACGCTCAGCATACGCCCTCCATCTGACAGAATCATCCCTCGATCTCCTTTCCACAAACTCTGTTGCAGCAGGCAGAAAAAGATAAATGGCAATCTAAATTTCTGCAAAGTATTTCAAAGCTCCTGCATTCCTGGAAGCTGTACACAACTCTGATGTACTGGTAGTCTAGTTAATTAGTTTTTGAGATGTTAATGCCTTCTTAATCATTGACTTAATAGTTTTGAATAGCTTCATAAGTTTTAGCTGCTGTCGTTTATTACTCAGGAAAATTAATTTAAATTAAAACATTTGTAAGGCAGGTTTTTATGAGAATATTACCAACATCTTCATTGTCTGGGGAACAGGTGCAAGATCATCAAAGGTTCCTTTCCTTCTGGATCAATTTTCCCATAATGTTTTCCAATAAAGGGGTGGGGGGAGAATGTTACTAGGGGAAAAAAGTTCTCTTAGTACGACACATTTTAAAAATGATTCATAGCAAAATGCAAAAGCAAAGAGAAGATAACAAAATCTGTTACAGTGCATAAGGTCTTTGAAGTTCTTTGCTTGATAAGAAAAAGAAACATTTTGAATAGTGGAGTCTGTGCAGAGTAAAGTTATACTATGAGCTTCTGAAATTGGATCAAGTTTCTCTTCCTTGTACGTCCACAGCCCAACACAGTGGGAACCTTGGACCTGGCTAGGACTCTTGAGCAGCACACTGTCACTCCACTAATGATAGCATTAAAACCTTTAAAAATGTTTTTTAAGGAAAACATCTCTGCAATTCATAACATTTTTTCCTGAATATTGATACAACAGCATTTGTTTTCAAGAGAAAATAGTATTATAACCAAGGCAGTAGTATCCCTTTGTGTGAATATTTCTCAGGTGTTATATCTCAAAGATATTCAAACATAATATGCATGACACAGAAAACACCTATTTTTTACACAGGCATCCACCACATCTTTCTCTTGTAGTGTAAACGAATATAAATATTGAGGGATGTCTTCTGTGTCCTAAGACACCAGTCCACAGGGAAGACTTCGGCTGTTGGATGGGGGGGTTGGTGCAACTGGATAGAATTACTCAGCAATTTCCCATTTAACAGAAGTGTTCAGCAGTGTATAAAAAAGTGATAAGAACAGTAAACCCACCAGACCACCAAAGCAAGTAGGGGAAGTGTGTGTTTCCACCACAGCTAGAAATCTTCACGGCAGCACTGATGAACAACCAGGAAGATAATGAAATCATGGGCAGGGGATAAACAGCAGTAGGAATCTATTTGTGTCTTTATAAACTAACATACCTCAGTAAATCTGGCTCCCCTTGGGTGTCTTGGGAGTCTGTGGTACATCTAGCATGGAGAGATAGTCTAATTACTTTTTGGAAAAATGAAGTGGCACTGGTTGCAATTCCGTCATTTTAATTCCACTAGACATTAGAAACAGTCAGGAATTTGTTGGTGAAATGTTTTCTGCACTGTGAGAAACTGCAGACCCATCTCAACTAAAAGTGTCTGCTGGAAAGAGTCTAAATTTCCTGGTATTGAAATATTATTTGGGGAAAAGCTTCAAAAATCTACATTTTTCAATGCTAACAGCAAAATTATTTTTATATTTTTTAAAGCTGTTTTCCAAAAATGGATGAGAAAGGCTCAAGTGAAGATGTTTTAATTGTTTGAAACTGCCCTTCAACTTTTGTTTTGAGTAAATTTTCTGAGAAGTCCATTTTTTGATCTGACTCTGGATAGCAAATCATTTCAATATTTTCTGTTCTTTCTGACAAATAAATGAGCTTGTAAGGTGTTATACTGTGTCTCAGATCTCTAGAAAATAACATCTGAGTTTTGTTTTGCTCTTTATTGCATTAGCCATAGAAATTATTACTGTCATTTATAAGAAGCCAAGTTAAGATACAAGAAGTGTTTTATTAGTTTTTGTGCCAAAGAAAAGAAATTAAAGCAGGTAACAGGAGCAGGCTGAGTACTTCTGGGCAAGAGGAACAAAGCTGGAAGACAGGCTTCATGATTCTTAATTAATTCAAAGTTAATTATATTGTTTATAACCATGTGCTTAAAATCTTCATATAGAAAATGTTTATGGCAGCAAATAGACAGTAATTTAACTGCATTAAATTTTACTTCATTTGAAATAAGAATGTTACATTAAGTGAGCTTAAATAAATGGCAAGGTCTTTTTCTTGTTTAGCAAGATAAGTGGCAAGTCATTTAAGTTGCTGACCTGGAATTTCAAAGATGAACACTATAGAATATTATTCTTTCAAGATGAGAAGAAGGCCAGAAAGCCCACCAGCTTGAGTGCTAGTTTTTCAACTAAGCACAAGGTAATTCAAAGTTATGGGTCAGTGTTTGCAAAAATGTATCTATTGTGACAAAAGAATATATAATGTAAATCCAGGGATTAAGAGACAAACTTTTCTTTGAAGACACTGTGGAATTTGGAAAATTACTCCATGAAGGGTATTAGTTATTTATAAAAAATCTCTTCTGTAGCGTGTTTTAACATACTTTAGTATCCTACTCTGCCTTAGCACTGATTTGCATTTCACGCTTTAGAGATTTTTCTATTATTTCTTGGTAGCCAGTTTGTTTATATTCCCAGCACTACCTACATCTCGATTAGATTATCTTCCAGCTGCTCTCCTCTTTTGATAAGAGAATGCCAAAATGACATCTTGGAAACTACAGCAAATTTAGGCCTGCAGCTTCAAAAAGGAATGTTTCAAAAAAGAAGGGTGGGGAAAAAAGTACAGAGAGCGCCTTTGCAGCAAAGCAGGAGATATAAGTCCCTAATCTGATGTTGAGCCAGGCTGCCAGATTTCAGTATCAGAATAGCTACTCCATCACAGAAACTCTGGATATAGAGCTTGACCCTAAGGTACATATTCCCCTTTGAAGAGAGAGCTAAAGCTCCTCCTGACATCAAGTTGAAAAAATCTGTTGGTGCATCTCCTTATTTCTCTTCCACGCTAAATCTCAGTTGTGGGCAAAATTGTACTAAGCAGCTTATTGAGTGTGCTTCTCTGCAACTACACTGTGCACTGTAAGGTGAGATGGAGAGCTAGTGTAAATGTGAGCTTCATTCTGATTTACTGGGACAGTCCACTGCCTTCCACCCGCACACACATGGGTTAACACGTACATGCCAATACAAGACCCAAGAATAAGGATCAGCCACAAGAACTGAGTCTAGTGCTGCTGTACATGAGAAGGATGAGGGTTCAGAGGAGAGTCAAAGGAGCTGTGCCTGTGCTCTCTCTCCCCCCTGCCAAGAAATGAAGGACCTGTACAGCTCCACAGAAATCTGGGCTTTTTGTTGGTTGCAGTGGCACACAGCAGTCCCTGCGCTTCTCATGACTACCCAGCCAGTCTCTGGGAAGGATGGAAAAGCTGAGATTGGCACCAAGCAATGGCTGAACTGTAATAAAGTATTGGTTTGGAAGAGGGGTACAAAAGGACAGACCTCAGTTCAATATCCAAGACTGAGATTCCAGATTTTCTGATCTTTATTTTCTGAACCCCTGGTTTTGGAGTAAAAGTAGAATGAGAAAGAGATGAACTTGAAGAGGTTCCATTTGAATTAAACAGAAATGTTTTGAAGTTTTAAAGTTCATCTAAGGCTAAAAATGTGACACCAGGCTTTTCCAAAAGCCTCACAATATTTCTTGGTTTCACCTACATTAAGAAATACCACACAGCAAGCCTTTCTTGTGGTAGAGAATTTTACTGCGTAGTGCTTATTCAATTCCCCCACCACAGCACAGAAATGTCATAGAAAAACAAAGGCAACAAACAAAATGAACTTTACTAACATCAAGAGAAGTTTAGATTGTATAGACTTCAGGCTTGGGGTTCAAAAAAATGCTGAGTAGTTCCTTTCTATATGATGTGATTTGCCCATTATTGAACCCTGGCACAGGAGGACTTCCATTCATGCCTAACTGAGGTGCTCCATGTAAGCACTGGAACTAGTTACCCAGCCCAGTGCTAAGGACAGACATTGGACATTTCTGAAGGAAAGGAAGATCGGGATCTTTTGAGGAAGTCATTATCTTGAAAGAATTAAAAGAAATTGCTGCTTAAGTTTATGTGATTTCATTCAGGTATTGTAATGTCTCCAGGGGGTTGGGGAAGGTTGTATGTTGGAGAACTTGTGGGAAAGAAGCTTCTTACTCACGGGTAGAGAACATAGTCATGAAGGGAAAACCAAGATTTAGAAGTTTATAAAAGGCTAAGACGCCTTTTTCTTTTTTGTATGAAGAGTCCTTTCAAAGACAAACCAAACGTGTCATTTCTTTCCTTAGGCTACATAGCGAAGGTTGGCTGTTGGATGTATTTCGACGTATTCATGGGGAGGAAGGCACGTTCTTTGTTCCACTGGACTTAGAGATTTCCAGTCAGGAGCTGAGCTACATTGTGAAGAGGGCTGAGCAGTGGAGAGGAATCAATGGTGAAAGACGGATGGTGAGTGGCAGTCTCCAAAAGGAGTCTGTGACATATTGGTCCAAATTAATGATTTGTACTTCTGGGTATTACCTGAAAGGACTTAGATATACAAGAAAATTATTCTCAGGGTGCTTCTTTGAATGGAGAAGCTAAGAAGTATGTTCAGGAGAATTTTGTGAGGTTATATGTGCACTGCCTGAACATCCTGAGGGATTACAATCTGCTAGTATCCAAAGGCTTAGCAGCATCACTGATGTCAAAAATTATCTATGCCATCTGGTGACTCTTGACTGGGTTGTAGAGACTTGCTACTTGTTTAAATGTCAGTACCATCCCAGATAATTTCTCAGCCAGCTCAGCAAACTGAGGAGCTCCATGGACGAGTAGAAATGGCTCCCTGCAAGGGCATGGACAGGGCTGCCCTGAGGAGGGGGTGTGAGTTTGGTCAGTCAGACGTGATAGCCATGGTCTTCTTCCTGGTCCTTTCCTTCCAGGATCACCCAGAGGAGTGGGCTGAGTTGGAAATGCGCAGAGGGAGATAGGAGAAGTCTGAAGCTGGTCTGCTCTACTTTGGCTATCAAAATAATTCCTCTTTCTTTTCCATTAAGCCACTAGCCTCTAGTCCCATATACAGACTTTAAGCTGTGATGTGCAGGAGATATATCTGTGTTTGCAAAGTGTCCGGTGTTGGGGATGCCATCCACAAATGAGGCTTCTGGTCGTTACTGCTTTCAGAGAATTGAAAATAACAGAAGTAACATGGTCAGTAGTCTGTGATGGTCATTGTCTTCCGCCTGTGAGGGACGTTTTCTTCCTTGCTTTCTAGCTTTGCATCAGCATTATTAATTCCGATAGGACTATCTTATAAAACTGCTCTTGGACAATTGTTGAAGTGTTCATCAATTGGATTTATAGATCTATGAGTGCCTCTGTGCACAATGCTTTGTTCAGTAACTCTTCTGCTTCAATGTAAAAATGAACAGATTCCAGATAGGAAGGAAATTAGTCCTCTTAAGTATGTATAAGTTGTTTGTTTTCTTTTCTTTTCTAACCCACTGGAACAAGTGATTTCAGATTAGGGTCTGCAGGTTTTTCAAGTCTCTATAGCTACCTCTGAAAGATCAGCAGTTTATATAAATATATAGCCTCAGTTGTCACTGCTATAAACATCTGGCACAGCTGTAATTATTTTCCACTTCTTTTTCGTGATGACAGTTTGGACCCTGAAAGGAAAAATAAAAAGGTGAATGTGCCAATTGAATGAAAAAGCAGATACTCAGTAAGCTTAATTTTTGTGGGAAAGTGCAGAGCACCACATTGCATTTCAACAGAGGGGAGTGAAAATGTTGGAATGAGGGAATGCGCTACCACAGCCACCTGCCTCAGACATTGCCACTTTTTATACAGATAGCACTTATTTGCCTTACCCCCATAAGCAAAATAACCCTTTTCCTTTTTTTCACTTAAGAACTTTCTACAGTAAGTCAAAGCATAGCCACTGATGACTGGTTTCTGTTACCTTTGTTTCAAGTTAAGTAAGGTCAAACAAAGAATATATATAGTGGACCTCATTTTACATGCCAGGACTACCAATGGCATATGGAAAAAGTGGCGGATAAAGCAACTGCAAACAACTACTTTTCTATTTCACGTGCAGAATACATTTCTAATGATATTACCAGCATATCATTTCTTGCAGCAGTACAGAAAGGGCTGAATGGGGAGAGGGGGGAAGAAGGAGAGAACGGGGGTAAAGACAAATGGAAAAGAATGGAAAGAAAAATACTTCTCCATGTACAAATAGTCTGTCCCTGAATGGAACAAATCTGGATTCTCCACTGCTATACTAAGACATACTTCAGAGGGTGGAACACTGAAAAACAAGACCCATAGTTATAGACATATGTAAATGCCTGGTTTTGCTTCCAATATTGAGCTTGGCATGTTTGCCATATTGAAATGTGGGTACCTGACCTTTAGTCTGAGATCCTTTAAAATGGACCCAGCCCCAGGCAGATCCAGCAGGAGGGAGGGTGCAGTCCGAGTGGAGGGAGGACTCCCCTACGCTGCCCAGGCAGCACCGCGCGCTTCATTTGACAAAGTGGGGCGACGGACACTTCAGCCTCTGCCCTAGTTCCCCAGGTTTCTGATTCCTATTCTGTCCACAGCTGCACGAATTTCATGCCTTTTCCTTTATCTCAGCCCTAATCAAAATTCCAGAGAGTGTTAAACATTCCTGTTCTCTATGGCACATAGTGGTGCGGACTATATGATCTAAGGAGATAGGAATAATGCAGAGAGCACGGAGAAATTTGCACCGCTGGCATCAGTAGGATCTCTGTCATTTCCTTCAGCGGGCACAGGATCTGCCTCACAATGAGGAAAAATTGTGAGTGGAGGTTACTGTCCAAAATTGCCAAGCTACCTGTACGAAACAGGAATGCTGTGAAAATACAGCGAGTGCTCTTCAGAAACCTGAAGTCTTCCCCTTCTGCTCCAATTTCTTGTTTGTTATTTTGATGGAAAAGGGAACCATCAAACCAAGTTTCATTAGCTCGTTGGCAAACCTAGTCTTGTAATAAAAACTTGCTCCGTTCCAGAAATATGTTCTCCACATGGAGCATCTCCCTGCAAGACCAGGAACTATGTTTTCAGGTCTTTTATGCTCCTAGGCATTGCAGATACTGAAAGACCCTTTTCTTCTGCCATGAATTTGCATAAGGTATTTATCTTGTCCCTTTCTTTTTGTATGTCTAATTGTACAAAGTAATCAGTATGGAAGACACATCGCTAGGCCTTATTGCGTGCATTATTAATGTGTTAATTTTTAAATAAGATACCAAATTAACTGTGAGCAATTTTTATAAAGGAAAGCATGAGACTGCCATATCTTACATCACTCCATATAAAAAATATATTTTAAATGGAGGTCATTCAAGTAAATAGTCAGTCAAATCTTCTGGAAAAAATAGGTCTACGTTTTTGCAATATTTTCTTGCTATTAACCATGTGCTTCTCATTTTTATTCCCTGGATTAAAAATTGCCCCATAAATGGGTATTTTATAATATGCTTAATTTCTTTTTATTAAATTGATAAATGCAGCAGCAGAGGACACATTTACAGTATGATGAGAATTTAAGGTTATTGCATTTTATAATTTTTATATTGTTCAGAGAAGTAATTTGTCATTTGTGGAATGACATCCATGCCATCATTTCAAAGTATTTTTAGTCATTCTTTTGATAGGAAAAAGGTCACTTTCTGTAGACCAGGAAGACATCACTCTATTAAACTAATTTGCCTACATGCAAATTTTGTCATTTTTACCTCATTAACTATTTATCATAGAGTAAAAAAATATATATATTCATGAAGGGGCAGCTAGCAGCCTGATGGAGCTGGAACTAATATTTTGCAACTCTAATGATTTTTTGCATCCTTAATTAGATAGCATAAGGTTGATATGATTAGGTCAGGATGTAGTGTTTTTCATTAAAATACATTTTAGAAGCTGTATTCATAATCTGCCCTTGCAATTAAATAATGAGCCTATGAGTTTAATATTATCGACCCAATTATTATCCCATGGAAAAGTATACCTTTAATAAATTTGTGCCGTAGGACCTTCATTAGCAACAAAACGAATTATAATTCCAGGTACACAGATTACACGGCCACAATCACATTTACGTAGTGGTTTGGAAGGCACTGTGGGGAGAGAGCCACCAAAGCCCCTTACCATACACAAACACACTTGATTATTTTGGAAGAAGTCATTTATAATGCCTTTAATGAGGAAAGCTGCAAAGAAGTTAAAATGCCACCTACAGAGAGAGACAGAAACATTTGTAGAAACAAACATTTGCAGAAACAGTGTTCTGGGCAGCCTCTGCTAGGAGGAAGCCTTGGACCCTCATTCCTCAACCTGTTATAAATATGGAGGCAGAGCTGAATATTTACTGATCTTTTATTGGAGGTGGGCACATTACATGTATGTCAAGTTCCCAAATCAGGAATATCAGGGCCAGTGGCAGACAGGAATACATCAACTTGCCATTGATAACAGCAGATCAGTGATGAGGTCAGGACTCCGGATTTTAGCCAACACTTTTTTTTTTTTTTTTTTGGTAGATGTGATAAAAGTGGCAATGACTTGCTGTCCTCACGAAGTAATCAGTTTCCCAAAGTTAAGTGACAGTTCAGAGCAAAGGTATCACAAGGTATCAAGTAGGGTTTTCTTTTGTCCAAACGCATAAGATTTAAAAAAAAAAAAAAAAAAAAGAGGAAAGTATTTCTAGTAAAACAAGTTCTGACCAGGGATGGTTTTCTGAATGGGGTCTGTTGTGGCTGGATCAGTTGTTAGGTGTGCAGTGCCCGGTGCATCATTTTGCTTATGTTTAAAGTTTCTCAACTATTTATTAGGTGAATTGCTATCAGCAGGGGTAAAAAGGAAAAAATCTGGCCCTCAGTGATTTTTGCTGGATTTAGCCGTCAAGGTACCACCATTGCTTGCAGAGGGACTTTTTACATGATAATACTAATGATGAGAAAAGTTGTCCAAGCACCAAGCTGAAACAACACCATTAGTATACCAAGCATAGGCCCAAAAGGTTTGCACATAGAGAGGGCTCCTGAAAAAAATGCAAGCTCTATAGGCAAGAAGATAATGTGAAACTTACACTTGAAATAAAGCCTGATGCACTGCAAAATTATTTTAATGAGAATAAGGCTAATTTTCTAATTCTAAAATGATATTATAGCAAACCATAAAAAATCACCCGGCAGTAGTTTTTTGAAAGGAAAATATATTTGTAATTATCTTGAACACACAAGATTACTTCAGGGCCTATTATCGACACCATTTTTGGTACCACTTTACACTAATTTGCATTTATTACTCTCAGGCCAACTATTAATATGTTAATAAATAAGTCATTAATACTTGTTATTTAATTGCTATCTATTTATTCCTGTTCAATAATGCATTAATTACTTGTGAATAGTTGAGGGCAAAATCCTGCCCTTGCTACTGCAATCAGCAGCGGCAAGAGAGGAAACCGATGTCGGACGTGTTGGCATTACGAGAGCTGGCAGAGAGCAAGTCACTTAACCCGTTTAGCACGAGGAGGTTGACTTTTCATCTTGTCTTAG